GAGTCTCCCTATGCAGTTCAGGCTGGCTTTGAGCTCACATTGCAGCCCAGGCTGGTCTTGAACTTGCAATGATCCTCCTGTGTGCTGGGATTACAGGTGTGAGTCACCACGCCTGGCTGCTATTTCTGCAGGATTGTCTCATTGTCGTGCACTACTGCTTTAGAATCTTTAGAATCGTACTTTTCTCTCATCTGGGGACATTTTCCACAGTGCCAGTAGCGCGGCCCAGTGCCCACTTCCAGAGGAGCATGTAGGACTCCTGGCGTGGCCTGCACTATGCCCTCTGCCCTTTGATGCCACAGATGAGAAACCTAGGGGCCAGAACTGTGGCTGGTAGAGAAGCCTGGAAGGGTAAGTGCTACACCTGCAGTTAAATAAGTTGCAGGATATCGGAACACGTTGCCAGCCGTGTCACACAAGAACTGCTATCAGGTTCACGGAACTGGGAAGATCTTAGAAACCCTTCTGCAGCCATCTCCTTTTACAGTGAGGGCAGATGGCTGTGGCAAGGCACCCAGCTCCAGTGACAGGGACTCAGGTCACTTATTCATATGGGCCACACAACTATTACTCATGGATTGTCAGAGTGACCCAAGCTTTATGCTCAGGGCTGGCCTACAGCCAAGGCCTTGTGCACACTAGGCAAGCACTCATCACTGAGGTGCACCTACTTTCTTTCTTTCTTTTTTTCTTTTTTTTTTTTTTTTTTTGTCTTTTTGAGACAAGGTCTCACTATGCAGTTCAGGCTGGCCTTGAGCTCACTTTGTAGCCCAGGCTGGTCTCAAACTCGCAACAATCCTCCCGCCTCAGCCTCCTCAGTGCTGGGATTACAGGGGTGCACCACCATGCCCAGCATAGCCATTTTTTATTGGGTGTATACAGTGATCAGAGGGACTATCAAAAGACTTAGGCTGGAGGGATGATTCAGAGGTGGGATGACTCAGCCGTCGATGACCTTATGCTGATGAGGAAGAGGTGGGGCAAGATGGCAGGTTAAGGAGTCTGTCCTTTCCCCAAGATAAAACTATTTTTATTACTGCTGGATTCTCAAGGAACTGGGATGTTCTTGACTGATGTAATCTCAGCCGATGTAATCTTGCCCTGGGGCAGCACAGCGTTATGGGACCATTAAGGCCTCAACTGTGACCAGAGGCACCCGGAGGAGTTATATTCCCCTGTGCCATAGCCGGCCCGCATGGCAAAGAATTAGGCCTCTGACAAGCCCAAAGCACAATTTAACTATGCAACGATTTTCCCCCCAACAATTATATAGAATGAGCCGGGCATGATGGCGCACACCTGTAATCCCAGCACTTGGGAGCCTGAGGCAGGAGGATCATTGCAAATTTGAGACCAGGCTGGGCTACAAAGTGAGCTCAAGGCCACCTGAACTGCATAGCGAGACCCTGGCTCAAAAAAGACCAAAAAAAAAATAAAATTATATAGAATGGTCCTTAACACCAGCCTATATAGACTGATTTAATGAATTTGGTGTTTATTCTTCTACTCCATACTACTGTACTTTTATCTCACATATAAATACCCATAAATGATTAAAT